TTTAGCGATTCAATAGTAATGTTCAATGAAACAATTGGTTAATCAAGATATCCTTATCAACAAAAAATTATAAACTATTTGTAAATTTTCTCACCCATTGTAATAAAAATAATTTATGTATAATAAAATTGTTATTTTAAACATTCAAAGTTATAAGGTTTGACTTTCTAATACATGTCATATTAGGAGACGGAATTATAACATTAAACAGGAGATTGATTTGTTTGTTGGTAATTACAGCAACATTTACCTCCAAATACTACTACTATGATTATTTTTGTTTTCTTATGCATATATCTGATACGATACTCTCTTTTTAAACAAAGCTAGTAAGGTCCATAAGATACTGAAATAGGGGCACAAAAACTTAAAAGATAATTGCGTGAAATATCCTCAGTGGTAGACGGATCATGGCATCCCCTTGCAGTCAGGCTAACCGTGGGAGGTTCTCGGGGTCTTCCTCTCCATGTAACGAAAATGTGGGTAGCTCCATCAAAAAGTCCTCCACGATGGCAGATTTCTCCCAAAACTCGATCCAGGAGTTCCCTTGTCGTCTGGATTGGGTACAAAATTACAAGGCTACGGAGTTGGACATTAGTAGTCGTAAACCCATAAAATTGGGTCGGCAGTTCAACGACGGTTATAAAATAAGAAAAAAAAATTATAAAATAAAAATAGTATTAAAAGACTCCTGTATGACTCTTTCGGTTTAATTAACTATTTTTAATATTTTTAATAAGGTACCCGAATACCTTTGGAGACAAAATTTCAAAATTTTAAATTTGTGTATTATGCACTAAAACATGATATAAATACAAAAAAAAAATAATGAAGAAAAGGGGAAAACTGGCCGAAAAGAACTAATAATTAATTTTTTTTTCAAAATCACGTCACTTTGAAAACATGAATTATTTTTCATTATTCTTGCTTTATAATGCTCATAAAAATTAATCTCAGGAAATAGACTACGCATTAGACATAATATTAATATATAGATATTTTGCGGCAAATATAGAAACTTGCGAGGCGCATCCAGAAAGTAAGTTTCCCTGTGTGAATGGAACCAGCGTGTGAATGACGTCTTCAGCTCTTCGTCGTTGCCAAAACGCTCACCGGTGGACAGGAATTTCTCGAATTGCATGAAAACGTGAAAATAGCTGGGAGCAATATCAGGGCTGTAGGGTGGATAATCAAACAACTCCCAGCCAAATTCCGTCAAAACAGCTGCTGTGCGCCGCGCCATATGTGGACAAGCATTGTCATGGAGGAGCGCAACACATGCATTCCACGACTCTTGTTTTGAATGGCACGTCACAATTTCCGCAGTGTTTCACAATAACGGTCACAGTAACGGTAGACGTCTGTCACACGCTGGTTCCATTCACAGGCGTCAGAGTTCTACGACAAAGGGATACAAAAGTTGATCCCACGATGCGACAAGTGCCTCAATTCTGGTGGCGGCTTTGTTGAAAAATAGCTGAAACATTGCTCTACTTGTTGCCAATAAATATGTTCCTGAAAGTGTGAGTTCTTTTTTTAAAAAAATTCGGGAAACTTACTTTCTGGATGCACCTCGTATTTGGCAAAAAGTGGCCAAAAATTGCGTTTAATTATTTTTAATATCTGTAAAATATGATATAATAGTTAAATCCGCTATTTCATTGTACATTCCCTTGACATATACGCAAAAAACATTCTTGCAAACTTTCAAGTAATATGAACTAAAATTTTTTTAACACGTTGAGCGCCGCGTCAACCACCGGTGGCTGACACTGAAATTACATTTAGGCTGCGTCTACCACCGCTTGCTGACACTGACCTTTCACATAGGCCGCGAAAAACAGCTGGCTAACAGCGTATAACATGATATTCTTTACATTCTTTTTTACATTCTTTTATGGAATTGCAGAAAATTTATACAAAATTTACTTAATTGTTGTGATTCTTGATTTAATAAATTCAATTTCGTAGATTTTTATCCATCACTATTTTTAAACAATTCGTTGACATATATAATTCACCACTTTTTTTCAGATATGTCTTGCTAAACCTTTTATAAACTAGCAAAATCTGTCTATATTTGCAAATTTAGTTTGTAGCTATTTACCGTGTGGCCTGACGAGCAAGCCATGTAAAATTAGCGTGGCATTCAACGTGTTAAATATTGCATTTAGAATGAAGCAAAATAACCGAAAAATTAGTTTTCATAAAAAGGTAAAATTAAAAAGACACATTCTCAATTTAATAATAATAGATGTTCTTCAAATCATCATAACTTCTGTTCTATTTGTCGTAGAAACAAAAGTCAAAAGGTTTTAGAAGGAGAAAGTTTTATTTTGTACTAGCTGAATACCCGTTCTTCGAACTGGGTGAATAAATAAAGTATCAAGTAAATAAGTGAATAAGTAAAGTAAATAAGTAATCAAGTAAATAAGTAAAGTATCAATAAAGCACCGTAGAGAAACACTAGGAAATCATGCTCGTAACTGAAAAGCACATAAGCGACACAATGAATGAGCTTAATGGAAGGACCACGTAAGTGACATTTTTAGGGGAATTAATGAGGCTTTGCCTCTCTTTAAATTTTAACACGACTAATCACATAAAAGTTTTGTATGCTAGTATGATTTTTTTATTTCAATTTATGCAGTAAGGTTTTATTTTTTAGGTAGTTAGGTTTTATTTAAAATTAGGAGCAATAAAGCGAAGAACTATTAGTCCCATCTTCTATTAAATTGGTAATAAAATAGTTCGGATACAACTTTTTTTCATTCTGAAAATGTCACTTACCTGCTTCTTCCACTAAGGTTTCCAATTAATATAGCTAAAATAATTTCTTTTTTTTTATTTAATGTTATTTGTTGCCATTTACGGTGGTTTTACATTACTGAAGAAAGTAAAACTTGTTTTTGTGCAGTTCATTTCATTAGATTAAAGGTATAAAATGTATTTAACATCACTTGGCAATGATGCTATTACTCGCGGCTAAACCATAATAGTCAAAATTTTCAATTATCAAATAATTTTCTCCGGTACATATCCTTTTCGAGGGGCCTTTCCAATGTATCGGTACTTCGGTTTAGTTTTGTTCTGTTTTTATCATCAAGTATAATTATAATATTTTATACCTATATCAGCATATTTGGTACTTATTACATAACCCTTCAACATTTAAGGTCCCGCAGACACGGTTCCCTAGCAGATCACAGAAGTCAAGCATCACTGGCTGCAGTCAGTGTGCGGGTGGATGACCACGTGGATCAGTGTGCGTAGGGACCGAGGGTGTGCGGTATGGGTCCTCGTTAAACTGCTCTACCGTAAAGTGCTCGACTTCGCATGCATGTCGTCGGGCTACGGAAACGAGGGTGCCATCCCCTCTGCAGAGGATCAAAATTGCGATGGCATGACTTCGGATCATCCTCAGGAATATTTCCCAGACCATCGCCAATAGCCCATTGTGCAGATCTAGTGCGACGTAAATGAACAACAACAACAACAATCAACATTTTAGTTTTGTGAAAAATATATCTGTCAGTGCCAGCCAACTAAAGCCGAAATTTTTAAGAAAAAGTTGAATTCTTATTAGAAGTTGAGAGGGATTTTGGAGAATGGCCACTTCTCTATCTAACCTTTAATTTACTATTTAAATATTTTGTAGTGGAAAAACACACACACGCAAGATTTTACTAACTTAAAACGCTTATTTTGGTCGATTTGAACATAGCATGGGTAAAAATAGCATAATTTTCACTAACTTTAAGCATCTTTCAAATCGTGTAGTGTCAACAGTATGTGTCGTGTAGTGTCAACAGTATGTGTCGTGTAGTGTCAACAGTATGTGTCGTGTAGAGTCAACACACACGCACGCACACACAAAGTATGCTACCACGTAATGTTCATTGAATTCATCTGACATAGCGAATATAAAATAATTAAATATTTAAATACTTGCAATGAACTATTTTTTGATCAAACAGAGCTATAAGCTAGCAATTATCACTGATGCTATCTTTAAAATATGTGAAAATTGAATCGCTAAATTTAAAACAATTGCTAACGCTTAACCAATTAGAAAATTCCATTTCGTTTTTCGCTCATCCTGCAAGAACGATTTGCTGCAGAATGTTCTAATGTTGACAGTGACCTTCCTCGTGCTCGAAACTATCTGTATGGCAAAATTTCATCGCTTTCTGTCGGATGGTTTAGGAGTCTATAAAGCACATACATACAGACATTCATTTTTATATATATAGATACATAGACTAGCTGACACGGCAAACGTTGTTTTGCCATATGAATTATTTCTAGAGTATAAAAATATATCTTATTTATTGTAAATGTGTGCGTATGTGGTATATGAGTGGAAGAGGCATGGAGTGCTGTGAGCGATGATGGAATGGAAAAATAACAACACACCAAATAATATTTTTTTTAATTTATGTAAATTTTTTTTATAAATTATATATACTACGAATTCTGAAAATATTAGTCAACAATATTAATCTTTTAGTGCAATGGAGTGTACAATATTTTTTGTCATTCCATCTTTAGCTAACACAAATAAACTGGATGGTTTGCCCACTCGAGAGAATACCACGTATAATTGTCAGTGTGAAAAACATGGTGTGCTCAAATCTAAGCCGCAAACAGACATTGTTTGGCCTTGTCATTGCAAATGCCAATCTAATGGGAAACTGAATGCGTTCAAATTGAATTGGAACATATGTGGGTATAATAGAGATCCATGGAAGTAATATACTTTCATCCCGGAATTTGTCATCTAAAATAATGACTTCGATAACGTTGTTCATTAATTTTTTAACGACTAATCGCGTGCCGTTGCACAGTCGTGGTGGGTTCAAATTACGTAGCAAAATAACCGGAGATCCAACTTTGAGTACTAAATAATGCGGTGGTATGCCTGGTAAATCCAATGAGTTTAAAAACACTGTTGGAAAATTTTCAGCTTCATTGGGATCGCAAACTGCATCAACGGATTTTTATGTCACCAAGTTACCTGGCAATAACTGTTGTATCTTCAGATTCAAATCGTTGACGTCGTCATTTTTTGCTGCTAAGATCGCCCTTTCTGCCAACCACTCATGATGAATGTATTGCGTGTGTACAACGGAAAATATTACTTTAATGAGAGCATCTTGTGAATCAATCATTGTGTAGAAATCGTCCGGTAATTTTATGCATCCAGTCTCATCCTTAGTAACTTTTCCATCACCGATATCTAACAATTGTTTTGAGAATGTTTCAGCAGATGGATCTTGAAGTATTTGGAAGTGCATATTTACTTTTAGTTGATTTTTTTCAACATTACGCCACAGTGGAGATGATTTCAAGCGAGCATTGATCTCATCAGAGTACGTTGAACGCGGAATGACGGGAAGTGCTTGTCTGAAATCACCTGAAAGGAGTAACAGAGTGCCGCCAAATAATTTGTCATTGTTTTTTATTTCCCTCAATGTCCTGTTCACCGCCTCAAGCGAATGTTTGTGTGCCATAGTGCATTCATCCCAGATGATAATTTTACAGTGTTTCAACACTGTAGCCATAGACGATTTCTTTTTTATGTTGCACACTGCATCTGGGTTGTTTTGAATATTTAGTGGCAGCTTAAATACTGAATGAGCTGTTCTGCCTCCATCCAATGAAATTGCCTCATTGACAGATGATGCAACGGCCAACGTGATGCCATTATTTGATCGTATTTCAGCGAGAATGAGCGAAATAACAAAATGTTTTGCCAGTTCCGTCTGGTGCATCCAAAAAAATCCACCTTGTCCTGCCAAAACTACGAGCATAATGAGGTCGTAAATGTTCCTTTGTCTCCCTTATTCATTAGTGGGACATTGCGAGTTACAATCGCTGCCATTTCCATCGTATTGTATTGAAATTCACGATTCATGTCAGTGTTTAATAAATCAGGTGCACTTCGATTCGGCGAAGGCATACCGAAATGACTGAGTGGCTAGTTGGCAATAATAATGCAAAGATCTACAATAGCAATCAGTGCTTCATTGTACATAGCATCTTTGAATGATATCGTTAGATCATTGCAACGTGTGCGATGTTGATACCGTATATCATCAGTCTTCGAATCTTTGTGATTATCCCATAACGTTTCGATACGGGCCGGGAAACATGTAGTTAATACTATGGCGTATAGTAGACGAATTTGCTTTGCAGTACAGTTCACTGCTGCTTCAGCAAGCATACATTCCCACTGGTTGTCGTCTTCCAGCAAGCCGAGTGTAAGGCATGCACCTTTATACGTTGGATGCTGATGTCCATCGACTTTATGTATATCTTGAAATGACAATGAGCCGGTGACATTAACCAACAACAGTCGAAAATAAAAGCACTCAGTCAACCTAGGATAGACTGTAAATACTCTCCCCAAGGCGTTTGATTTGAATAAACCGGGACATGCATCAACCGGTGTGCCTCGCTTGCGGATGTCCATTTTTTTTATTGAGCCCATGTGAAATAGTGTGGTACTTCTGAGTAGAGTAATGTCCGTGCAAAGGCACCAAAAGCATCCGCACGATTACACAATTCGAAAAATTCGGTCAGGGTAGTTTTTGGTGGATTTATATCTCGGTCAATCGCTGTCTCGTTCGTGAAATATACGCGAGGACCGTTTTCAAGATGGACGGCTAAATGAATAACGGTTGGATTCCGTTCATGAACTGGGAAACCAAAGATACGCCAAACAGTTTCATTGGAGGTGATGTACCGGCCAATTTGGTACAGCTTTATTTCATCGTTGTTATTCACTGGAAGAGCAGTCACATTGGTATTTTCAACTCGAAATACTGCCTTTATTCACATACTTACAAATATATTTGATGCTCTTCTTTTAAGGGCGAGCATAAGTATTAGAGTTTAATATGATTTGTTCCACGGTGCGTGAATATTGTTTTTGAATTATTATATTTCTATGTCTAGTTTGGATTCGAATACGATTAAATAAAGATATCTTTAAAATATGTGTTAAATTTTGTCTAAAAAACGAAAAAAAAATTTTTTATAAATCTATTCTCTGGCCTACTGAATATACATACAAAATTTCATCAAAATCGGTCAAGCCGATTCAGAGGAGTATAAACACTAAAACTGTGACAAGAGATTTTTATATATAAGATAAAAAAAATAAAAATTAGATTTCAGTCGAAATTGGCTTTAAAAAGGTAGTCGGTTACCTTAAAAAATGTCTTCCCTTGTGTTAACAAAGGAAATGTATCAATATTTTAATACATTAGAATTAAAAGAATAATGCTCTTCTCAAATCCATATTTTTTTATTTTATAACCGTCGTTAAACAGCAGACCCAATTTTTTGGGTTTACGACTGCTAATGTTCAATTCCGTAGCTTAGTAATTTTGAACCCAATCCAGAAGACAGGGATTTGTATTAGACCCTTTTATGGAAAAAAAACCTGCATTTGCGTAACATGGAGATGAAAATCACGAAAACCTTCCACAGTTACCCTGAAAGCAAGGAAACTCTAACCTATGATCCGTCTACCATTGAGGAAATTTTTCGTCAGCACTGTGGACGGTGCCAGCCGGGAGCGGATTTTGTATCAATCAGCCATCGCTTCGATTCGAACCCGAGTCACCTCATTGAATGGCGAGCGCTCTATTCTTTGAGCCACCACGTCTCAACTGCAACAATTATCTTAAAAATTGAGGAAATTGAGGTGTTTTTGCTCCTTGCACTGTATAAGGAAGTTGCGAAAGGATAGTTCAGGTTACGCCAGGGAAGAATACATAATGTGAGAATATATAGTGCATAACGTAACTAACATTATTTATTCTTTGACCATGGATCACTAGCACTTGGATTTAACCCCTTCGTTACGACCGCTGTATTAAGCCGGCATCTAAGCGATGCCCTGTGTATGAGTTTAATCGGTATCCACGTTAAGTTAGTGTATGAGCGCCGTATTTAGCCGGCATTCACGCGATGCCCTGTATGCATACAAGTATCGTTTTTCGACGGCATCCACGCGATGTCCTGTGTGTATGGGCTCCATGTTTTGTCAGTTTCTTCACGATGCTTCGGGTACAGTAATTAACCGGCGTCAGCGTGATGTTGTTCGGTAACTATCCCAATCTGCCTTCAAACTGCCACTGGCTAATATTCATTTATCTATACACCAATATTCCATTTACTTATAATGGTATAATACTACTGAAAGCATATTTTGAATCTGTTTAATATGTTTTGTAAGCATGAAAAAGTTTCCTAAGCCGCGATTTTTTCCATCTTCTATTGTTACCATATCGTATCAATCGGTTAGAGCCTTCGGGCTGGTACCGAGCAACAAGACTAGATTCAATGTCCAAAAAAAAAGTTTCTTTCGTCCATATATACTCGATTCTATGCCTAGCCTTGTCATTTCCTTATCTCTTTGAATCATGTCAGATCTAACGAACTAGTGCAAGCTCACCATTGCTTGTACAGAGTAACCTGAACAATTCCAGAGTCCTTGATCTCCTAAACCTTGAAAGTCAATTGAAACTACTGCATATCACGTGAGTGTACATTAACATAATATCAGAATAAATTTTATGGATAATTAAATAATACGACTCTGAATTATAATGGATTTTATTCTTTTTATGATAAAATTTTTTATAGCTTCATAAATATGTAGAAATATTGAATATTTTTTAGCAAGTAAGAATCAAATTTATGTGAATCATAAAATTGTAATAAGTTATAATTGGTACTTCAAATATTATTTTTGTTGACTGCATTACATGCATGAAAAACTGAATAAACTGTGTAAACACAGTAAGTTTGAACGAAATGTATAGTCTGAACGATTTGGTGAAGTGGAAACAAATTATTCAAAACAAATTAATCATACAACACTTTTTGACACTGGTGTACCTTTTACATTTTTTCAGACACTCTAATGGTATTGGAGAATATATTTTGGGTATTTTTTAATTATAAAAAATAGTCCAATGATTACTAAAATTTTTTTTTGATTATCAGAATTATATTTAAACTAAAATATAAAATCCAAAAACTGAACTCGAAAAAAAATTTTCATTCATGATCAAAGTCGTATTTTTTTTTCAATTTATTATTAAATATTTTTAAATGAACTTGAAAGTGCATAAAAATACTCCTACCTGATTTTTTTTTTATTTGAAAGAGTGGAAGTATCTCTAAGATTTTAAAGCAATGGAAAAATCTCAATATAATATAAATAGTATAAATTGAAATTTAAAACTAATCTACCGAACGCTCTCTACATCAGGAAAATTAATTATCTCTTTGAGGTAGAATTTACATTTAAATATATTTTTTATACTTTTTTTCATTATTTGGTATTAATTTTGGTCGAAATAAGTTAAAATTATTACATTTAACATTTTAATAATTTATCGTTATGAAATGTAGCATGAGACACTGGTGTCTTTTTCTGCGTTAAAGGCAAAATCTTCCACACATGCCAACATTCACTCTTTTCCAAAATGGATTTTCCATGTGGTTGAAAAATTATTACCGAAAAACAGTTTTACTCAAAAATATATTTATATTTTAACCGGGTTGAAATTCGCTATCTTAATGACTAACTTGCTTTTGTATATTTGTTGTAATTATTTATATGTAGTGGTGGTCAATTTCATTTACAATTATTATTATAATTCAAAAAGTTTAGTGGAACAACATGAATTTCGCGAGCACTTTAAATATGGAAATAAAATCTTCCCGGAAAACCGGAAGAGTTGGCAGCTATGCACATGGCTCACTTCCAAACGATACATTTTTAAATTTGCCCTTATTTGCAGTTATTGAGATCCAAAAGAAATAATTATTCATCATAAAAATTTCTTTTATATACAAAATTAATTACTGAAAATTTTTTGAAATGAATGAAAAATTTTTTCATTTAATTCATTTAATAATTAAATTCATTTTAATGCAAATATAAGTCCGATAATCTAACAGATACTTTAGCGACTATTGAGTCGTTTTTTATAATTTAAAAAATACTAATTTTTTTTCTCGCAATTACAACGTCAGAAAAAAACTATCAAAAGAGACACCAATGTCTCCCAAGGTTAAGAACTAAGCTTCATTTTTTTTAAAAGGCAGAGCTTTAATAAGTAGAAAAATTATTCTTTTTTACAAAAATAATCCTAAATAATTGCACATGGAATATAAATATATTTAATCTAACATTTAGGTTTTAGATTTGATTTTTTTTTTCTAATGGCAGACACTGATCTTTTACGTTCCTTGCCTATGAAGATGCCGAAAGTATTACTCATTTAACGTTACCTTGTGTGCAACTGTGAACCTTTGGACTGATCTCCTGACTTAACTATGGGGACCATGCTTCCCATTTTACGGCTACCCCTTATAATTGGGGGGGGGGTAGAAATCCGAAATCGTCAAAAAATATAGGTTCATTTAGAGAAAGTATGTTTTTGTATTTTCGATTGATTTCGTAACTTAAAATGTCGTCTGCATAAATTAATTAGCATATTTGTGATCCCCTCAAAGCCCTAGAACGTGAAGATCCGATCATTAGATCGAAAATTGTTCAGATTGGTCCGATTTTAATTTGAGCACTGAATATACCATTTTAATCACCAGAATTCTAAAAATATACATTGAAAGTGGTAACACACTGCGAAAAAAATACACACATTTTAAAGTATCATTTTGAAAGTGCCAAATACCTTTTTTCCAAGGAAGAAAACAGAAAATTGAACAACAACAAAATAAAACGCATTATGAAGTCTTGAATAAATTTTATTTACTGCCACAAAAG